AGAGAGAGAGAGAGAGAGAGAGAGAGAGAGAGAGAGAGAGAGAGAGAGAGAAATGAGAGAGCTCTAATAGGACCATGAGGCAAATCTGTGTGTGAAAGAAATCTGGCAGAGGCAGCTGCACTGGGCAGCAGGGTCAGGATGTTGGAGGATGCTGTGAGTCCAGTGGCAGGTGAGGCTGCACTTGACAATAATCCAGGCCCCACTCCACACCCTGAGACTCTGGGAAGGAGAAAGCTTGATACAGGGGAAGGAAGTGTATTACCAGGGGCCAGCAGCTCGACTGTGGGAACAACTTTTGAAATGGCTGATCTGAAGAAGTAGATGGGAAGTTTCTGTTGGCCAGAGAAGGAGACAGAAGTCACAGATCAAAGGAGTAAGAAAATGGCAAAGGCAGAGGTGTGGGTAGTAGGGTGGCCTCAGCCAATGGAGAGGATGGCAAACGCAGAGGACAGCAGGGCAGTGGGACTGCAGCCCAGCATGATAGCTCTCACCATGTGTGGAACATACTCAAACCCCTAGAACAGCGGTTCTCGACCTTCCTAATGCCGCGACCCCTTAATACAGTTCTTCATGTTGTGGTGACCCCCAACCATAAAATTATTTTCGTTGCTACTCTATAACTGTAATTTTGCTACTGTGATGAATCGTAATGTAAATATCTTTTTGTTTTCCGATGGTCTTAGGCGACCCCTGTGAAAGGGTCGTTCAACCCCCAAAGGGGTTGCGACCCACAGGTTGAGAACCGCTGTCCTAGAAGGAATTGGGGGGAAGGGGGTTAGTCCCAGGGGAAAATGACAGGTCTTTTCACTAATCAAAGGGGCATCACTTCAAGCTCCAGGAATTGGGCATATCAGCTGCAAATGTGGCACATTTATTAGGGTCATCAGGTGAGATATGAATATCCACAGTTCTCATTGGTTTATTTTTGTCATTATTTAATTTTAAATCAATATCACAACCTGTGTGGAAGACCTTATCATTCTTAATACAGGAGGTCACTGACGTTCAGAGATTTCCAAGCTCACATAACAAGAAACAATTACCTCATTCTCCTACCTGGTTTCTTTTAAATCCAGGTGCACATAACTGATGTGGTAGAGGGGCCTGAACATCTCCCTGAGATACTGGGTTTGCACCCGGATACAGAATTGGATGAAGCTTGACTGGTACTTTTTTTAGAAGGGCTTGAGTGCATTTTATTAGGCATGGACATTTCTGAAGTTGTGTGTGACACAGCATGGAGGTTATGTATGAATATTGGACAACTAAAGGGGAGGACTACAGTTGTGGTAGTTCTGTAATATCCACTCTGTTCCTCCTAATTTTATAGTAGCTATGCAATTGAGAGAAGTGACCTCAGTCGAGGATGAGCCCTGATTAGTCTAAGTCAAACATATTCTCCTGGTGATGGTTCTGGAAAAAGCACGTGGCTTCCATTGGGCTGATGAGATACAAAGATAAATTTGCCAGGAGCTTTTGGAAGATGTTTCCTTCTCTCGGAAGAAAGTACAGGAAAAGATTGTCTTTTTTCTTCTGGATCTTGTTGGGCATCATCAGTGAGAGGCCCAGCTCTGCCGCTGCCACCTCAGTATTTGAAGTTGGCACTGGAGGAAAGCTGAGCGAAGGGAATCAAGAGAAAATATATCAGAACCACTGGATTAAATTACCTGGTAGCCCAGCCTGCCCCTGGCTGCCCTGTTAAGTGAACCAATAAATCTCCATCTTGTTGAAACCAATTTGAATTGTTTTCTATTACTTGTGCCTAAAATCACCCTGACTAATGCAGCCTGTCCTCTGAAAAATTCAGTCTTAATTAATTCAGGATCTTCTCAACTCACCTGGGGTTCTAAATTCCTGAGTACTTATGTAAGGCTGAGGTTCGGGTGTGAAAGTAAGACAGGTTAGTTAGTATGACGTCAGGCAGTCAGGAATTCCCTGGTAGACTGAGCAAAGATAAAACACTAGCCATTTCTTACATTAGCCATTTTTTTCAAAGTTATGAGATAACCCCCCTTGTTGGGACATCAGTCATACCCTAGGGCAACAAAAATATTTTGGACAACATTACAGAGGCCTTCCCAAGGCTGAGCAACAGAACAAATCTAATAGACACCTTAACAACAAACACTAATATTCCTGCATTCCCCCTTCCAGGCAGAAAGAAAAGTATAAAACTCAAGCCTTTTACCCTAGCTAGGGGGCATCCCATTTTCCAGGTACCCCCTCCCGCTCAGGAGCTGTAACCTTTCTCTTGCTTTAATAAAACTCTCCTCTGCTACAAACTCTACCTCTCGGGTCCGTGTGTCCATCCTTCAGCTTCACAAGACCACGACTCCGGCACAAGAAATATCCTACATCAAGAGTATGTTATTTTGTCTTGCTGTCTTTTCTGGTGGCTCTTGCTCACGATTCCTCGTTTCCTTGTGTATCTAATTATTTCCAAATCTGTGCTGTACATTGTTGGCAAAATTTGTGGCTTTGGAAGAGGTAACTTTCTCCAGAGAACATTTATGCTTGCTTCAGCCGGGCACCTACAGTCATTACTGACTGAGGACCACCTTAAGCCAACTTCAAGGTTTGACACTCTCTGAACCATTCAGACGTGGAAAACCTTGACTGTAAATTGACCTAAGAGCTATTGGGCTGTCGGAAAAGTCATGACGCATTTTTGCAATGGAAAACATAGAAAAAACACGTCATGACTTTTCCAACAACCCAATAGTTTGCTTCTGGATTGCACTTGCTCTAAGGATGTTTGTCATGCTGGGGCTAAGCTCCCAGCAGATGAACGCAGGATTCATGAGGCTGAAAAGGAACAACAACAGAGCCACAGATAGAGGATTCATGTCACTATATTATATTCTCGAAACATGAGAAACAAACATCCGTCAACACCCCAACAAGGCGTCTTCCTGCACCAGTCTTGCTGGCGGCCACGCGAGACACAGGAAGTAGGAACTGCAGGATCTGCACCATCATAACACCTGCTTGCTAACACAGCCAACAGTTATAAGCAAAACAATAGTAGCTAATGGCCAACTGGTTACAGCTGATGGCCATCTAATAACCGAGCCAGCACCTTTCCACGTGAGGCCGAGAGCCTGGAAACTGCCCTCCTGGCCCTTTCCCAGCAACGTGGTTCTTTGAGATCCCAGCTTTTTATAGGTGAGATTTTCTATTGTACTCCCAACTTGTATGGGTCCTGGGCCCCCATCACCCCATGCGGCTCTTGTTAGAATTGGCGGATACCCTAGAGCAAAGCCACTCTTTTCTCACCAGCTTCAATATGTGCCCATCTCTCTTTCAGTTGGGCCCAGTAAGGCATTACTACGTTGTTTTTTCAGTGCTTTTAAGAAGCTGCTCTTTATATTTTATCCAGCATTTTTAGTGGAATATGTTTTCTGAATAACCTAGCCTGCCAAAACTTCCAAATCTCTTGTTTAAGCCAAACATATTCCCTCTCCTCCCAGGAGGCCTCACTTTTGAGACTCAAAACGAAAAGGTGCCGTTCCTTCTTTACATATTTCATTTCTTCCCTGAAGCAATAAACAAGAAAAACGCCAAACTCAAGTGAGAAAAGAGCTATAGGGAAGAAAGAAGTACCTCTCAATTTGGCTAGTATTTCAAAATATTATCCCACCATGTCTGTAAACTGCTTAACCCCGTGCCCAGCACATAGCTGGGTTCAGTAAATAGCTGCTGTTGTCGTGATTATTATTTCTATATACAAACTCACCTTCTCTTGGAAGCTTTCCGTCAACAACCTTGCCCCCTTCCAATGGATCTTTTACTGTATTTTCTCCAAGTACTTTTCTACCCCCGTTGACAACCTCTTGATTTACTCTAATTGCTTTTTCAAATGTGCAAGTTTTCTTGGGAAAGTCCAGTGACTGAACACCACCCCCAGAAAACTTTGAAGGTGTCTTGTCCTGTTTCTTTTTTCTTTTTCTTTTTTTTTTAAAGATTTTTATTGGGTAATTGGGGGATGGGAACAGCGCTGGGGAATTGGGTGGAAGGGGAACAGACAAGTTGCTGTCCTTTGGTTCTTCAGTCTAGTTGTGGAAGATGTTGCTTCATTGGCCTAATTTGGCACCATCATTGTGCTCTTCCCGGGAGAGGCAGATCAGTCACCGGCTTCTGGACAGCCGCTCACAGCGGCTGCTGGCTGCTGGCTGCTGGCTGCTCACGCTGGCTGCTGGCTACACACGGTTAGCCCATGGCAACCCACTGCAGCAGGGGCTGCAGCCTTCACTGTCGCTGGCGACTCACAGCAGCCCAGCTCCAGGTTGAGCTGTTGTTCAGCATCTTAGCTGTAGAGGGCAGTGTCACCGGCCCTCATATGTGGGATCCGAACCAGGGCCCTCTGGCGTCCCAAGCCAGCTCTTAACCAACGCGCCACTCGGCCGGCGCTGAATCTTGTTTCTTTAAGCTCTGGTATCAGAACTCTTTCCACTGCAGATGACAGAAGACTCATTTCAAACTGCATTCAACAAACAAACAAGCATTCTATTGTACTGAAAAACCCAGAGGTAGGACTTCAGGTGCAGTTTGATATGAAGTTCAGTGAATGTCATGAGGACCTGGTCTCTCTCATCATTTGTGGTCCTTTGTGCTCTGTTTTGTCTTCATTCTCAGGCAGCTCCACTCTGCATGGTAGCAGGATATTCACACATCATCATAGCTCCAAATCTAATGGGAAAGGATTCCCATTAGCTCCCATAAAAGTCCCAGGATTCACCTCTATTGGGTGAATTAGGTAAATGTCCCCTCTTACTGTGGCCAGGGATTCCCTGATTGGCTAAGTCTGAATCAGAGGCATACTTCCTGGAACCCACAGTTAAGTCTTTCTGAAAACTGTGTGTTCTGAGATTGGAGGAACTGTAGTTCCCTGAAAGAAACTTGGGGGTTGCCAAAAGTGGGTAAAATGGATACTGGGTAGATAAAAACACCATCTGTCCACTTCAATCTCTAACGGTCCACAGAAAAGGGCTCAGTAATCTGGGGCAGACCAAATTACATTAACAACTGGCTGGGTCTGTCCAGGTCCTTAGGACACTGGCATAGATGCTGCTTGGTTTCAGCCACACACAGACAGGATGAAATCTAGAGTATCTGGGTGTCATAGCCTCCCAACCACTCTGGCATAGGGGACCCCATTTGTGACATATCAGGAATGGGACTCATCCAGGCTCCTCTTTTGGCCTCCTCAAGCTGTTTTTCCTTTTCTACTATAAAAATAACACTTAAACAGGATCCCGAACCCATGTCTTAGAAAAATAAACTATCCAGAGATGGTAGCCAATTTCACCCTAGGGTCAGAGTCCAGTGTCCTTATTACACCCAGTGTTGAGAGCAAGCCAAGAATTATGATACCACGATAAGAGACTAAAGCCAAACACCCAAGGAGTGTTTGTTTCCCAACCAAAGCCAATCCCTCCTGCTGATTTGCTGTGCCAAAGAGGATGGGTGGGGCTGGGATCGCAGTAGGAGCAGGGTGAGAGCTCTGAGAGGCAAAGGGCTGGGGCAGGGCAGAGAGCTCATTTTTTACAACTAGAAAATTGCTATGATTTTAGTGTTGAGCAGTGCTTGAGCCTTCCTCTATCCCACACTTAATGCTACCATGAAATGACTGGTAAAGAGCCCCCCGCCCCCAACCCCATGCCTGCCTGCTTTCCGAATCTCATAGCTGGAGGTCTACGGGGACGAGCAGATGGTGACGTAATAATTTTAGTAACCACTTACTGAACATATATTACACGTCAGGCCTGTGCTTTATTTACATTAAGCTTAGTGATTAAGAGTGTGACACTAGAGTCTAGAAACCCTGGGTTTAACTCAGCTCCATTTTACTGGTTTTGAGATTTTGATCTCTTTGTGACCTGATTTTCTCATCTGTAAAATTATGGTAAAAGTACTTACCACAGGGCTGGCCAAGTGGCTCGTTGGTTAAGAGTTGGCTTGGGAATGGGAGCTCTGAGCATCAGGGCCCCGGTTCGGATCCCACATTAGGGTCAGTGACATTGCGTCCTCTACAGCTAAGATGGTGAACAACAGCTCGACCTGGAGCTGGGCTGCCATGAGTCATCGGTGATGGTGTAGGCTACAGTGGAGATGCAGTGGGCTGCAGTAAGCTACTGTGAGTGGCTGGCAGCCAGCGTGAGCGACCGGCAGCCGGCATGAGCTGCCAAGAGCGGCCATGAGCGGCTGTCCAGTGGCCGGCGACCGATCTGCCTCCCCTAGGAACAGCGCAATGATAATACCAACATAGGCCAGTGAAGCAACGTCCTCCACAACTAGACTGAAGAACAGAAGGACAGCAACTTGTCTATTCCCCTTCCCCGATTCCCCAATAAAATCTTAAAAAAAAAATCTTAGAAGACTTCTGACCGGTTCCATATTTGAGTTACCACAGCCAACGGTCTCATAATTTTCATGCTTGAGTACTCTGGATTTGGTGTACTTTCTGTTATTTCTCCAACTGCTGGTAGTTACCTCGAGGCCATGTGAAAAAAAATATGCTTGGCTGTGACGGCAACTCCCTTATTCCACCCATTGGGCGGGCTCCCACTGTTTGCTGAACAGGGTATGCTTGAGATAGATTTGGGACCACAGGTTCAGCCCTTACTAAGCCTGCCTCTCCCAAACACCTCTTATAACGGGCCTGAATGTACCTCTCTTGTAGGAGTTTGCTAATAATAACAGCAAGTAGCAGCCAATGTACACCAACAATCTGAGTGTTGCCGTCCAGTTTCCAGGCTCTATTAGCATATGCTTTACCTGTCAGGGTATCACAGGTGACAGACATGTCACATGTTTTGCTGTAATATAACAATGGTCACCAGCTTGCCAGCATATAATATTTTTCTTTTCTAAACCGACGCCATTTGTTAGGATACATGTTTGCTTGCTGTAGCCAAGACCCAATTTAAGAATGACTTAAGGGCTGGCTGAGTGGCATGTTGGTTAAGTACTGGCTTGGGATGCCAGAGGGCCCCGGTTTGGATCCCACATATGAGGGCCAGTGACACTGCCCTCTACAGCTAAGATGCTGAACAACAGCTCAACCTGGAGCTGGGCTGCTGTGAGTCGCAGGCAGTGTAGGCTGCAGCCCCTGCTGCAGTGGGTTGCCATGGGCTACCGTGTGTAGCCAGCAGCCAGCGTGAGCAGCCAGCAGCCGCAGTGAGCAGCCGTCCAGAAGCCGGTGACTGATCTGCCTCACCCGGGAAGAGCAATGATGGTGCCAACTTGGGCCAGTGAAGCAACATCCTCCACAACTAGACTGAAGAACAAAAACGACGCAACTTGTCTGTTCCCCTTCCCCCAATTCCCCAGCACTGTTCCCATCCCCCCAATTCCCCAATAAAAATTAAAAAAAAAAAAAGAATGACTTAAAAAATAAAGTGTATCTCTCGCTCTCTCTTATATATAGTCTACAGACAGTCCAAACCTGGTAGGGTGACTCTGAAACCCTTACCAAGCATCTTATATCTTGGGTACAAGATAGTTGCACTGGCTCCTGCCATCATGTTAGCATTTCAGTCAACAGAAGGGGAAAAGGAAGAGCGGAACTCATGCTTTTTTCTTTTAAGACCTGACCTGGAAGTTACTCACATCACTTCCACTCACATCACATTGGCCACATTTAGTCAGAAGGCCATATTCAGCTGTAAGGAAGGTTGGGAATTTGTCTTTATGATAGGCAGACATCCCATCTAAAATTCAAGTGGTTCTATTATTAAAGGAAGAAGAGAAAAATAGATACTGAGAGGCAACTTGGCAGGCTCTGCCATCAAATGCTTTTATCTTCATTTTACATTCGTGGAAACAGGCTCAGAGAAAACAAGCAACACTTGCCAATGTCATATGGCCAGCAAACAGTACAGCGTAAATTTTAACAGATCCATCTGACTCCAGAACGGGCTTTCTATCACATCCAGTCAACAAATTTGGTCATCCACGTGCCCACTGTTTACTTAAAAGATAGTCACTCGTGACTAGATAGATAAAGGCCAGTCCAGTGTACACTGAGATGTGTACACAGAACACTCGCTATCAGCCCAATGCAGTGAGGGGGATGCAGTCAGGGAAGACTTTCTTAAAAAGTCCCGTTAGCTGTGCCTTAGAAGTTCCAACATCTGAGACCAGACAGGAGCAGGCCACAGGGATCCTATGGAAGGAGAGCTGCACTCACCCCCTGTCCTGTCCAAGACACACATGGATGAGCCAAGTCCCTTCTCTGCTGTCTTCTCCCCTTCCCTCCCCACAGGCAGGTCAGGAGCTTTGAGGGATGACAGAAAATATGTTCAATAATTTCAGAAAGAGCTCCAGGAATTCATTACCAGGTGTCTGTTCCAAGGCCAGAGACTGAGATGGAAGAGGCTGAAAGAAAAAGAGGAAGGGCAGGGCAGAGGAAGAGAGGAGCTGGAGCAGCCGGGTCAGTGTTCCTGATCTAGACATTGACTCAAGCCCCAGGAATGCCAAGGAAGGGGGGCTGGGCAGCCACCAGAGCTGGGCTGGGCTCCTGCTGGCACCAGATGTAGGGACAGTGCACACACAGCAGGATTGAAGAACGGGCTCCTGCATACCTGGACCTACCTCCAAACCACAGGTAGAAACAGGTGTCTCTTACCCTGTGGACAATGGCAGGCCCGGAGCCCAAGCCCACTACACACATTCACGGTGCTCATCACAGCTCCCCAACTGCCTGAACCATCCCACTCCTCCACCAGAGACAGGGACAGGCTCCTGGGACTCAAACGGGGACATTGACATAGATTGGTCACTCCCCTGAGACGGCTAACAAACCCCTCATCCCCAGCCTTCCAGCCGGCTGCAACTTGCCGTTTCTAACTCCAGCACCACCCACAACTGAAGTTTGTACAAGAAAGAAAGTTAAGCTCAGCTCGCCTCCATTTTCTTTCATTTGGCGTCTGACAAAGATGAGAGAGGCCCTCGGAGGAGGAAGCCAGGACTCAGAGCCCACCTCCCCCTAGCCCCAGTGCCCCCACAGTGTTCCAAGCCATCTTGCCCCCAGAAGGAAGGGTTCTTCCTGCTTGTCTTCAGAGACCCAGGAGGCAGCCCAGGACCAGATGCCAGGATTCCAGGTTGCCCCTCTCCTCCCCACCCTGCCCCCAGGCTGCTGGGCTGGAGCAGCTGAGTGGGTGGATTCCTCCCTCCCCACTGCCTGACACCCAGAGAGAATCTGATTCCGGAGGGCAGGGTGCCAGGGGCCGGGCCCAGAATAGTGCTGCCCAGCCAGTGTCGCACACTTGCTCTCTGTTGGTCCCGGTTGGCCGCATGGAGCCTGAACTGCGCAGGGTACAGGGGTTCTGGGGACGCCGTGAGCTGGGACAGCTGAGGCCAGGGGATTGAGAACAAACCTCACTGTATGAATGTGTGTGTGCATGTGTGCACATGTGTGCGTGTGTGTTTGACCTGGATTTTCTCCGTGTACATGAGCACGTGGGAGTCTTTGTGTAAGTGGCTGTATGTGGTTTTGTGTCTGGGAATGGTTGAGTATGTGTTTCTGAGTGTGTATAAGTGTTGGTGTAAGTGTGTGTGTTTACATGTGTTTGTGGGGTGGGTGTTTATGTGTTTCTATATGTGTGTGTGTATGTTTGTGAGGGGGGTGTGTGTGCGTATGTGCTCTCGTGGACACCGTGTAAAGGGAAGGACCTGTGTTTCAGAATGTAGGGTGTTTGCCCCACCACTTCAGACACCCTTCTCCCCACAGAACCCATCCTGGAGCAGCCTCATGGAACCCAAGCCTCAAGGTAGGTGGGGTGGCCCCCTCCTGGTGGGCCCAACCTCTTTTCTCACTTCCTTTGTCCCCTACCCCTCTGGACCCCCAACCTCACCCACTCCACTAGCTTGGCTTTTGTCTTCCTCCCCTTTTCTTTCTTTGTTCCTCTTTGTTTCTTCTTCCTTCTTTTCCTCACCTCTTTCTTCCTCTTTCAAAAGAAGAGAAAGGGGATCTACAGTCTGAAGACTTAGACCCTAGTTCTGACTTTGTCACTTAATAGCTGTGTGGCCTGTGGGAAACTGCTTAACCTCTCTGATCTCAGGTCCCTCATTAGTAAACTAGGGATAGTAATAATGCCTCCTTTGTAAGATTGCTATGAGGTTTGAATAAGAAAAATTTTGGAGAAAATATTTTTGGAAGCTTGCAAATATTAAATATTATTAATAACACTGTAATTGATTTTGTTATGTTACTCCCTATTAACCAAACAAGCCCTATTCCCCCTTCCAGAGATGAGCTTCCTAGAGCAAGGAAATAGCACTTCATGGCCACCACTGGCCACGACCACCAGCTCAAAAAGAACCCAAGGGAAACGGGGGGCCAGGGCCTCAAGATGGACAAGGCAGGAGGCTGTAGAGGAAGAGGAGCTGCCAGGCCTGGAGGAAGGGGAAGGTGAGGCCCAAGCCAGTTTTGGTGAGATGGGGGGTGGGGGTGAAGAGGTGGGTGGGTGGGAG